GGATCTGGAGGTCTTGAGGCTCGAATTCGGTCTAAGGCCAAACCTGGGTTGCCAAGTCCAAGTTGAAAGGTCCCATACACCATGTTTTATTAATAGAGTGCAATGTATGTATGGTGATAAAATTTGCTTTATCAACTAAGGACAATACAGTTGTGTAGGTGAATTAATGTCCCTCCTGTCCTGCATCGTTGGGGTCAGTCAGAATCTTAATCACATACAAACAAATGCATGGTTGGTGTACAAATAAATTATCATGATATGTCGACTGTTGCTTACTTCCGTACTTGTTTTTTGGGACCCAAGTCTTGACACTTGAGAGTGAGAGTACGATTAACTTATTGACAACTTCTTTATTTCACATGTAGCATGTTTCACGTGTAGGCATGTGAAAATGCGGGTAACAAAATCTCACTATCTTCTTAAACTAGGTCTAAATACACACCCAGCAGAAAAATAAAGAGATAAAAATATTGTTGCCAAGAAAATAAAAATGACAACTACTGAAAATGGGGGAGATTTATTTGTTGCGAGGCCAGTAGAAGAGACAATCTTGCACAAGGAAGAGCCCAGGGAGCTCAAAGTTTCTGAATTGGCTCCAGAAGAGTTGAGATATTGCCACCTAATGTTTTTGAAATATTTCTCTTATTACATATTAAAATCCATGATATCGATTTCATAACACTCTTTATTGGCGTTACTAAATTAAAATCCATGATATTGATTTCATAACACTTATTCAAATAATACAAAATGTATTCTGCGACAAGAAATACTATTTCTTTTACTAAGAGCATCTCCAACCGATATGTCAAAAGTGCCACATAGACATTTAACGGCTATAAATAACATCTCACATCACTCCAACCGAATTGTCAAAGCTGATGTGGAATGAAGGTTGGAGGTTCAGCTGTTATTTTTAACATCCCAAAAGTAAGATGTCAAATAAATATTTTATTATTTTTAAAGACAGATGGCTGTGGCTTTCATTTATAATTTTACTTTTTTTTTATTTTTTTTCTTCGTTATCTTTAATGATTTGACTGTTACAATAATTATTTATTTGACATATCAGATGGAGTGTAAAACTGTTTAAATATCAAATTGCCACATCAGCCATCAAATTTAAATTTAATGTTTGGTATTTGACATCTCCCTTGGAGATGCTCTAAAACGCTAGTATGTTTTTCCAACTACAGCTATCGATCGACTCAACTAAATTAGAAATGTGATTGTAAATAAAGATTATGTATTTATGTTTGTTCATTACAAGAGGGTTTGAATACATTCAATGCAAGCAGGTGGTCGTTAGGTACAATCATATATGGTGTTATTTACTAAAAAGGTAAATAATATTTTGTCATAATATCAAGGAAAGGTCAACAAGTCTTGTCCAAATTAATATTTTGCCAGCTGGGCATATTAACGTTGTTGCTTACATAAGTGACATACGTCATAGCTTTTCGTCATACGTTATCCAATTAATGATAGAGGCCAGTGGCCACATGCTCAATTAATAGGGTAGTTTCAAAATTGCCTCCTAATCTTTAAGTTTTTTAATTAGTTATAAATGAATCGATAAACTTTCGTGCATAAATTTGATATCCCAGACATTACTTAGTAAGGATATCTGAATGAAGGATGGTAGTTGGACGGTAGGAAGGTTATCTTAACTATTTTTTTCTTGGGGAATGCTAACAATATAATTTTTGGTTTTCAAATTTATCCTTGTTAAATGTATTTATTTATTTGTTTTAATTTACAACAAGCTAGTCTTTTCATAATTTTTTACAACAACCTTGTTAAAAAATTAAATAAATAAAAAACGTCAATTTTTTATATAAATATTTTTAATAAATGTCTTTTTTTTTCCTCTCTAGAGAAATGGCTCCTATATATATTTTCTCTTTGTTTCTATTGGTCATTGACAATGGCTATGTAAACATGTATCACATGCGCAGCAGCTTCCGCCTTTAGACAAGTTTGACTGTTTTAGGGCAAAAGAATCATCCTTCGAGCATGGCTAAGTATCAATCAACACTGGTCTAAATTCTTTTGTGTTTAAAAAACAAATGTTCTCTCTTGAAAAGAAAAATATACATTTTTTTTGAAAAAAAAAAAAACACTGACAATTTTTCTTATTTAATTTTTCAACAAGGTTGTAAAATAGTTATAAAGTAAAAGCTATAATTGTCTATTTTGTGCGCCCCTATTATGAACCAATATTGGATGAGTAAGTGGGATGTGAGGTAAATCCACACCGTTGGACAGTGGTAACCGGTTAAAATTGTCTATTTTGTTGATATTATAGTGTTTCTGTAAGCATCATGTTTGTCGATTTTGTTGGTCACAGCTAGATGTCTTAACTGTTTCCTATTTGTCTAATTTTTTTGCAAGGATGATCTATGAATGAAGACTAGAAAAATAAACAGTTCATATTGTTGAAATAAAGTTTTTAGTGGGTCCCATAATGTGTCACTCAAATAAGATTATTTGAGTCATCCCTCAATATATATTCACACACCAAATACTTGGAAATGTCTCCAATTTGCGAAGAGTTGAATATAAACATCTTTTGTTTTTTGTCAATGAATTAACTATATTGGTAGTTGTTTCCTGCTAGTAGGGACTTAATAAGTCAAAGTCAAGTCAGAATACAATTAAACCAGCAACAAAACTTAAAATTTTAATAGGCAAATGGGGCTGCAAGACTTGGGAGTAGGGTCTTTCTTATAAGTTAATTATATATCTTTAATCTTCATATTTGGACAATAAATTGAAGGCAATACTCAGGCGCTTAATTGGGATTAAGTAAGCTGAGATTGGTGGTTGGACGGCGAAGGGAAATCTGCTAACATGAGCAACTCAGGAAAGGTAATTGAGGTCGTTGAGCTTAATTGTATGATCTCTTTAGAATTTGTGCATATATATTGCAGTTGGATTATCATCATGTAGAGAACAAAAAACATGTATATATGTACATGCATATGTTATTTAATACATACATATTTGCAAAAATACTGATGCTGAAAGTAGATGTGTGCACTGCTAGCTAGCTTATACATTTACAATCAAACCAGGAAACGGAAGCAAGCTATGAGCAACAGTGCTATGACAAGGTGGAGAAAGCGTCAGGGGCATTGAACATCTTTAAAGTTCCAAATAAACTTCGAAAAGTGAAGGAGGATGCCTATAGCCCTCGCCTTGTCTCAATTGGGATTTACCATCGGGAAAAGCATGAGCTTTGATGCAGGAGCATAGGGTGGATTAAGATAGATATTTATCATTTAATTAGTTATTTCATGATATATTGTTATTTTCTTATTTAGGTAGTTTTAGGATATCTTTTATTATTTATGTGTGATTTTATAATTAATTAGTTTACTTTTGGACCAAGCAATCTTGGTGCCCAAGTCTTGTAAAGCCTATAAATAAGGCTATTGTAATAGTTGTAAAAGATGGGAATATTGATGATTAATGAAATAGTTTATTTGTGGCATGGATGTGCTACGATATATGTGAGTTTGCACTAGCCCTAGATTTCGGTGCTCGTGTATGTGGTTGGTGACCTGTATCCTGATCCCGATTCCCATCAATTGGTATCAGAGCCTGGTTCAAGATCTGCTTTATCGGGGAGGTTTTTGGATGGAGGGTTGTGTTGACAACTACAACGACATGGAGGAAATTAGGAGGATGCTACGGCAACTTACGGAACGCATCGCTCGCATCGAAGCTTGAACCCAGATAGGTAAGAGTTCTGACGGGGAGAGATGCGTGAACCTTTATTTGAACCGAGTAGCTCGCATCGACACTCTAAGCCGTGGGAGTCTCGACGGGGAGTACAAGGAGGATAACCCTTTTCATTATTGCGCTTCGCTGTGTGAGTCAAGTGAAAAGGGGCACGATTATTTTCATTGTGTCTTTGAAGGTATAAATAGATTTGATAATTTTGGTGCATCTTGTTATTCATCAAAGTTATTAAATTTGGATTTGCCTCCAATATTTGATCATTGCAACTGTGAAAATTGCACTGAAAATTGTTTGGGTGTTCAAAGCAATTTTGATAAGCAATTTATTGATCAGAACAATGAAAAGATGAGAATTGAGAAAACTTTCGAAGATATTATTGATTTTATGGGCATTAATGTTTTCACTTGGAAGGTTGCCAAAACTTTGGTTGATTTTGTCAATTGGTTGAAGATTCTAGAGAGAAACATTTGCATTCTTAGAGGGAGTAAGAAGAAGCCAAGAATAACGAAATATTCAAAATATCTTTTTATTTGGAAATGAAGGTTTCAATTGGATGCTAAAAGATCCAGAATTAATATGAAGCAATTGAAGATTCTACTCAGATTTTCCTCAATCAAAGGCTTGAATTCGAGGACGAATTCTTTCCAACCAGGGGAGTCTGATGCAGGAGCATATGCAAGAGCATAGGGTGGATCAAGATAGATATTTATCATTTAATTAGTTATTTCATGATATATTGTTATTTTCTTATTTAGGTAGTTTTAGGATATCTTTTATTATTTATGTGTGATTTTATAATTAATTAGTTTACTTTTGGACCAAGCAGTCTTGGTGCCCAAGTCTTGTAAAGCCTATAAATAAGGCTATTGTAATAGTTGTAAAAGATGAGAATATTGATGATTAATGAAATAGTTTATTTGTGGCATGGATTTGCTACGATATATGTGAGTTTGCACTAGCCCTAGATTTCGGTGCTCGTGTATGTGGTTGGTGACCTGTATCCTGATCCCGATCCCCATCAACCTTGCAGCTATGCAAGAGCATAAACATCGTTACAGGAGATACTTTGAGAAGCGTTTGAATGAGTCTGCCACATCCCGTGAGAGCTTTGAAAGTTTTTTCATTAATACCTTAGCGGAAAAGATTGCGAGCGGCTACGTTGGAAGAATTGGGTGCTATCCTGAGGAATTTATAATTGAAATAATAGGACTTGATGGCTACTTCATATTGGAACTTTTCCTCAGGTATTATGAACACTACAACTTAAACATGATGTTAAAGAGCAATCTGATGACCCAATATTCAATACTATCTGGATAATTCCAGCACTCCGCCAGGATCTAGCTTTAGTTGAAAACCAGATCCCCTTTTTTATTCTCCAAACTCTGTTTGAGGCTACCACGCCTCATCTCAAGGCCAACGGCAAGCCAGCACCGAAATCGGTCACTAGCCTTGCTCTTCATTTCTTTGAACCTGCAGCTCTGAAGAACCAAAAGGCAATAATAAAAGGAGTTGATGATCCTCCTGGCGGCACAGAGGGCTACAAGCATCTGCTTGATCTCTTGCACAAATTCTATCTCCCAAGTCAGCCTAAGAGTACAAATAATAAGCAGCAGCCTGCTGGGGCTGGTGATTCCTCAATTATCAACATCACCAATATTGATATCCCTGGAAGCTATAACAATTGGGGATTCAATTATTGCGCTTCACAACTTTTGGAATCTGGGATCGAGATTGAAAGACAGTCAAGCGAGAAACACTTGCTGAACATAACTTTCAGCAAGGGAGTGATCAGAATCCCATCATTGTTCATAGACGACAACATTTCACTCTTGAGAAACCTGATTGCCTACGAGCAGTACAGCATCAGCAGTAATCACATCACCTCATATCCCATACTCCTGAAAAGCCTCATCCGTTCCTCAAAGGACATCAAAATACTTCGGCAAAGAAGGATCATAAATTCCAATTGGATTGACGATGAAGTATATTTGGCTCAATGCCACAGTATTCTAGATGAGGTTGTTGTCAAGGACTTCTGTTTTGCTGACTTATGCAACCAAGTGAACACATACGCTCGTAAGTTCTGGTTTCGCAGACGTTTGAAGTCCTTCTATCGCACTTATTTCTCAACTGCATGGAGCTTGATATCGTTCATTGCTGCATTTTGCCTTTTTGTTCTAACTGTCATTCAAACATACCATGTCATTCACCCTCGCTAGCTGATACTTGTTGTGCCCTTAATTTTTTTTTTTTTTTTTTCAGTGGCTTAGGCCATCCTATGAATTTGATTTGCGTATATGTGTTTAATTTCCTTCCTGTATAATAAGTCTGTATCGATCAGCTTTCTGTTTTCACAATTTATGTACGACTGTATGGAGCCAGAAATGAATAAGAAATGGTGTCTTGAGAAATCATGCGCAGTACAGTTGAAATACGCTTAATGATCTGTTCTACTATAATGATTTTTCAACTAAGGGAGGGAACCTATGATTTTCGGTTACATTGTTAATATTTGTAGGGGCTTATTTGAACAGCTGGAAGAAATAAGGGAGACAATAATTAGACAATGATATTTATTTCCACAGATTCCATGCGCTAATTAGTAAAAAGAATACAAATTTATAAATAAACCCAATTCTAGACATGTATTTATAAAAAAACCCAAGCACTATTTAAACATAGAAACACACCCAAAATCAACTTCAAAGTCAACTTTTTGGGTGTGTTTATAAAGTGTTTTGGGTGTTGGGTTTTTTTATAATTTCAACCTCCATTTTGGGTGTTTTAGTGAAACTCCCTAAAAAGAAATGTACAGTGTGTGCGCGCTAAGACCGGATGCCAAGAATTGGACTAAAAAAATAAAGAAAACAGAAGAGAAGTTGTTTAAGTATAGTTAATTATCCCTTCGTTGACGTTGGAATTCAAACAAATGCGTGTTTGGTACCAAATAGACTAATGTGTGTATCTACTCGTTTTCCTTCCACAAGGGATCAACTATTTAATATGTGAAAGCGCGCTGAGTTAGATAGAGAGGGTGCTGAGATGAGTGAACCAGTCGAGGAAGCTCAGCTAATTGAGGTGTATATTTTACAGTGAGAAACAGGTGTATGCATGTGGCCATTTAATTCCTTGGTTGGGGTCAAAATGTTAGTCAGATAAACAAATGGTTGATTGGTCCAGATAGATTAACAAATGGTTGTTAGAAGGCAATACTCAGTCTCCAGGGATGTTGGTGACCGGACAAAGGGGAAATTAACCTGCTGAGATGATGAATCAATCAGAAGAGGAAACACATCAGGTATAAACGAGAGCTACGATCTTTCTTTATCTCTTAGTGTCTTCTTTTTCATCAACATTTGATCATTAATGTGAATTAGCATCTCTTTCTTTCTCTTTCAACTTCTGGAATTTTTTCTCCTTTTGTTTTGGACGCAAAGCAGCTGGAAGGCGAGGAAGACGAAGAAGAGACACTGAAGACTAAGTGGATATTGGAGATTAAAGAGAGACTCGGAGCAGTTAAGGAAGCAGAAGAATCATGCATCTATCAAGTCCCAAGCAAACTTCGAAAGGTGAGAGAGGATGCCTACAATCCTCGCGTCGTCTCAATTGGACCTTTTCATCGAAAAAACACTGACCTTGTAGCTGCTATGCGAGAGCACAAATGGCGTTATATGTTAAGCTTTCTGCAGCAATCGGATGATCCTGACGAGTCTCACGAATGCTTGGAACATTGCATGAATGCTATTTATAATTTAGACAAGGAGGTTCGTCAATGCTATGCGGAAAACATCGACTATGAGAAGAATGAGCTAGCAAGAATAATGTTACTTGATGGCTGCTTCATCTTAGAACTCTTCCTCAGGTACTACGCCAAGAAAGTGGAAAAAGAAGACGGCCCTGATCCAGTACTAAAAAGTGCTTGGACGATCGCGGCTCTTCAGCATGATTTGGCTTTGCTTGAAAACCAAATCCCTTTCTTTATTCTCAAACGTTTGTATGACATTGTCCAGCCTCGTGTCGTGATCAACGGCCATGAAGCACCACACTCGGTTGCTGGCCTTGCTCTCGTGTTCTTTCAACCTTTGAGCCGAAAGCCGATAGCTAAAGATCAACATGAGCTGGGGACAGACTTCAAGCACTTGCTTGATCTCTTGCACAAATTCTACTTCCTCAGAGCTGGAGTGCCTGGCCATGAGGTGTCAATTAAGGTCAAGGTCGATCATGTGGAATTGGTTTCCAAGGTTAGATCACAACAATCTGCATGCCTTTTTTTCAGAAATATATTTAAGAGAAGAAAGCAGCAAACTGCTTCATGCCTTCCTGAACCTGATGAGCCAGCAACAAACAACAAGTGGGGATTCAACTATTGCGCTTCGGAACTTTTGGAGTCTGGGATCCAGTTTCAGATTGGTTCTTGGGAGGACAATTTATTGAACATAACATTCAGCAATGGAGTCATCAGCATTCCCCAGTTGATCATTGACGAGGCTACCAGTTCAGTGTTCAGGAACCTCCTTGCCTTCGAGCAATACAGCCTTAGCTCTACACATGGCGTGACGTCGTATGCCTTCCTGATGAAGAGTCTCATCCGTTCCTCAGCGGACACCAAGCTGCTCCGAGAAAAAGGGATCATAAGGCATAATAGGATTGGAGACCATGAGTATTTGAGTCAGTTCAAGGATATTCTTGATGAAGTTGTTGTGAAGGACGACTTCTATTTTGATAAATTGCGAGACCAAGTGAACGAGTATTGCACGTCCTGGTGCAGCTTGAGCAAGCTTCAAGTATTTCTGAGGGTGCGATTTCTAAGAGAAATAAGGGTCCTTTTCAGCACCTACTTCTCTTCCACATGGAGTTTCACATCTTTCCTGGCTGCGTTTGCCCTTCTCATTCTCACTTCCATACAAACATACTACACCATTCACCCTCGCAGATGAGACTTGCTTTCTTGCTTTTGCTTTTGCTTCTTTCTTTCTTTCTGCTTTCACAATGTATGCATGCATATGTGCAATTGAAATAATATTGTATGAAATTGATCATCTGAATAAAACTCAATATTTCATCATCTGCGTGGGTTTGCAAAGCCGACCACGTCTCATACTCTGATAGAAGTTTATATTATTGCTCATAATGCAACGTATTAGTTTATGCTCCCTTCATCATATGCAAATTCCTTTCATAGTTATCAATACACTTTTATGTTGATCAAATCTTGTTTGTCTCTGGGTTTGGTTAAGTTTATTTATAACAAGTGGTTGATTTAGTGAATTTTTTGCCTTATCAAGCATCATAGGTAGTTTTTGACCCAAAAAAAGCATCATAGGTAGTTGCTAATGATGACTGGTTGCGGGTCTCTTGACTTCTCCACAAATTTGACTACATAGGTGAGACTGGTTTTGACTTATTGGTGCAAGCTTTTCCGTATTCTCGGCTCATCCTATTTTCCGTAGAAGTGACGTCTTTATTTCTTCTCTCACTATTTTGACTTTTAGGTTTCTGCCCTTTTTTCTCGGGTGATCCATTTTTGGGTCGATTATGGCTGTTCTTACGCGTATGCATAACATGTCACAGCCTTACACATACGTCGTAGCATTCCGTATGGTACAAATATATATTTGAGGTTTTGAGGATACTTGTGGATCACTACCGACACCAAGGACGTACGTTACCACGAAGACCTGGTGCAAATAGCCAGTAAAAAACATATTTATGACTACACTTCATTATACATAAAATTCCTTTTCTTTTTTGGTCAATTACATAAAATTTCTTTAAACGACCTAACAAGGAGTGAAAACCAAAGGGATCTACCTGTTAAAAATTACCACCACCATTGCCAGCCAAGTAGCAATCTACCTGCTTGAAATAAATAACTGATCAATAACGACTCCTAAGATGCACTACCAAGTACCAACCAAATACCTCCCTCTGCTATAAGCTGCTTTCATGTTCTTGTTATCATCCCGTTGCTCACTTATAACTTGCTTAACCAATCTTCGCTCTTGAGTTAAGGACAAGTTAACAAGTTTGTATAAATAAATAAATAAAGGAAAAAACAAGTAAACATGCGGTGCTTTGTGATTGGGCCGCTTCAAAAACAATAAAACAATGTGAGAAGCGGTGGATAACTCCTTAAGAGTCTGCTGGAGGGTTCTTCTTCTTCTCCTTCTCCTTCGAATGGTTCTGCAGCTCGCAAAAATAATGTTACTTGACGGTTGCTTCATATTGGAACTTTTCGTCAGGTGCCATGCCAATGTAGAAGTAAACAAAGATGGCCAACCTGATCCAGTACTAAAGTCTGCTTGGATGATCACAGCAATGTTTTGAAAGGCGAGGCGTTAGGGTGAGGCGTTTTATGCCTTATGAGGCGAGGCGTAAGCCTCAAAGCCTTGATGTTGAGAATTAAGCTACTCACTGAGCTTAATAAGAGACTGCAGATGACAATCCTGCAGATTGTTCCTGAGAAGAATGAAGAATTGAAGAACTTTCCCTTTTGGGAAGTAGCCGTTAGCTACTCTAGCTATTTTGGGATAATTTCTACAGCTGGTTTTTTTTGTCTGTTTCTTAGCTGTACTGTGTTAACAGACTCTAGCCTAGGTGTAAGAATCGTAGCCTCCAATCATTATGAATGGTAGGAGATGAGTCCTTGTATCCTAAAATTTAGGATCCTGATTTTGGCACCTTATGTCATGTATATGAGAGCAGGTTTTTGCTCAGACCTGAATATAGAAAAATACAGAACATTTTCTCATTCTCTCTGGTTTTTCTTCTCTCTTCTGCATAAACCTTTTTCAATATACCAAAAACCAACACTTGAGGCGTAAGCCTTTCGGGTATTGAGTTATTATAATTACAAAAATATAAAACAGCTATTGAATGTATTGAATGCCACTCTAGAGTATAAATTAACCATCAAACTTGTTTTTTCAAAATTTCTCTTACTATTGCTCAATTCTTTACCATATATCCTTTTGGTTATATTATCTCTCTAAGTCTAGTGCCTTTCTACCTAGTTCGAATAGATAAAAGAGTAGATTATGGAGGTGGACTGAACTGATGGTGGAAGGTGGGAGGCAGTTTCTGTTGGTCTGTTTAGGAACTTTGGCTTTTGGGAGAGGGAAGGAATAAATGGGTAAGCTGGTTTCTTTTGAACAAAACGGTGCATGTCTAATGTTCAAACTTAAAACTAAAACGCACAGCTTAACTAAAGGGAAACGAAACAACACAGCCCGTGCAAACGACGTCGTCCGGAATCAGATTTTTCAAATAAAGGAACTTTGTCTTCCTCGCGAGGCTTGCGCCTTTCACAGCGCATCTGCGTTTAGCGGCCGCCTCGACTTCAAGGCGTACGCCTTTCATGACATTCGCTAAACTGAGCTGCGCCTGAGTCGAATCACCGCTGCCTCGCTCTGAAGCGCACCTCAACACGTGCCTAGGCATGCCTTTGAAAACACTGGATCACAGCTCTTCAGCATGACCTGGGATTACTTGAGAACCAGATCCCCTTCTTTATTCTGGTTCGTTTGTATGAGATTGTCAAGCCTCGTGCCACGAAGAATTACTCCGTCGCTAGCCTTGCTCTCAAGTTCTTTGACCCTTTGAGCCGAAAGCCAAGACCTGACGAAAAGGATCAGCTGGGCACAGACTTCAAGCATTTACTTGATCTCTTGCAGTGTGGCGCTCAACAATATTACTGAGGAACAAACTAGTTCATGCCTTTCTGAACCTGATTATACATCGAGCAACAAGTGGGGATTCAAGTATTGCACTTCTGAACTTTTGGAGGCTGCAATCGAGTTTCAAATTCCGGCTTGGGACGACAACAAATTGTTGAACATAAATTTCAAAAACGGAGTCCTGAGCATTCCCCAATTGATCATTACCGACGCATCGAGTTCAGTGTTGAGGAACCTCATTGCCTTCGAGCAGTACGGTGTTAGCAGTACAAATGGAGTTACATCGTACGCATTCCTTCTGCAGAGTCTCGTAAGTAACACATCAGATTTCAAGCTGCTTCTGGACAGAGATCATAGCCCATAATCGGTTTAGCGACCCTGTATTTTTGAGTGAATTTGAGACTATGGTAAAGGATGTTGTTCCCAAGGACGACTTCTACTTTGCTAAATTGCGGGACCAAGTGGACAAACACAAGACGCCCTGGTACCATTTTAACAAGCTTAAAGTATTTTTTGCGGTGCAACTTCAAAGTGAAATTATGACCGTTTGGAAGAATCGTTTCACTGCTAAATGGAGCTTCTTATCAGTGCTGAGAGCGCTTGCCCTTCTCATTCTCGCTTTCTTACAGACATATTATACCATGCACGACCCTTCCAGCTGATCTTTACTTGTCCCATGCTGCTTCTTTGTTTCTTGGCCTGGAGCTGGAGGGTTCCCGTTGGACCATCTAGCCAATGAGTTTATATCAAGCTTTTATTTGAGTTAATCAGTTGGCCTCCCCTAGAAATGATCAGTCTATCTATAATCTTTCGCAGATTTTATGTATGCATGTGCAATTGTATGGTATTAATACCACGGATCATTCATCAACAAGGATGCAAGTTGAAAAAAATATTCGAATGGGATTCAAACAATGTTGTATATTAATATCTACAACCACATAAAGTAAAGATCTTTTTACATTTGAAACTACAGAAATAGGAAACATCTGGAACAAGACAGAAAAATAACAAATGTTTGCCAAAGCATAGAAAACTTATTGAAACATCAAAGAATACAAATTTTGCTCGAGTAGCTTCACCTTCACCATGTTATAGCAAATTGCTTCTTATTAGAAAGGGTCCCAGGGCATTCTTGAAATTCTGTCTACAACAGTGGTAGACAATAGGATAGATGAGCAATCAAACAAAGGGTTTTGCTGATCTATATTGAAATAAGAATTCTGGCATCTTAACTTAAGAGCTGCAACAACCACTGCTACTTGCAAGATCTAAATATTTGCTGTATGTTTAGCTTTCTTCTGTAAGAGAGGAATATGTCAAAGCTGATTGAGGATTAAACTTAGAAGTTCATGTTTAATTAGTTTTTTTTTTTCTCCAACAGAAAAAAGTACAGGGGCATCCATTAGGATGGTTTTGCTTAATAAAATAAATTGACTATTTTAACACACAAGCAGCTATTATGGAATTGAAATATTTTTTAACTAATAAATCTGGCAAAGAAAATACAAACCTAATTGTTGACTTGGTATGTTGAGAACTAGAAGTTCTCCGAAAAGGAAAGAAAAAATGATTTGGGAGGGCAGGAGGAGGGAAGTACGATTGAATGAGATCTTCTCAACTTTCAGAAAACATATGGCCATATAAGAGTAAAGTCTATCAGTAAGTATTTTCCGTTGACATTGAAATATATTTCTTTTTAACTTGTTGGAGTTTCTGGTTTTGCAATTTCATCTCACGTGTGTCAAGTGTAAAGACGGGGGTGCACATTACAGTATAAAAAACAAATACAAAGAAAACTCCACAAACCACTACATATTTAGTTTTCTTCTGAGATTAAGATGTCAAAGCTGATTGAGGACTAAAGTCAACTTCTAAGGACAGAGACATTAGGATGGTTGAGCCTAATATAATAAATTGACAAACTTTTACACACAACATTTCCATTATAAAAAGGTTCAAAATTTCTAACTAATAAATTTAGCAAAAGTTAAAAACTTGATGATTGACTTGGTCTGTTTGAGAACTTGAAGTTCTCAGAAAACAATAGGTTTGGGAGCGCAGAGGAGGAAAGTACGATTAAATAACCTATTGTCAACTTGATAAAGAATATGGGGATAGGAACAAGTCTTCTATAATTATATTTAATCATAATAGGGCTATAAAAGGCAATATTCCGTCCCTCAGGAAGCTCATACTGGAAGCTGAACGGAAAAGGAAAATCTGCTGGGATGAATAATGAGGACATCCTACAACTGGTAAGATTTAGATTTGAGTTTCAGATGCAGTTGTTTCAACAATATTGCAATTTTTTTGTAACTTTTTTTAGTCATCCATGTGTTATACTTGTGTTTCATTGCTGTCCTATAAAATCATGGTAGGAGGCAGAATCAACTGATAAGAACGAATGGAAGCGGGAGATTACTAAAAAACTTCACCAGAAAGTGGCAACAGGGTCAGAAAACTTGAGCATTTATAAAGTTCCAAAAAACCTTCGAAAAGTCAAGGATGAAGCATACAACTCTCGTGTTGTCTCAATTGGACCCTTCCATCTAGGCAACCATGCCCTCGTAGCTATGAGACATCATAAATGGCATTACATGCAATATTTTTTTGCACGAATAGAAGATCATCAACAATCCCTCCAATGTTTAGAAGTGTGTACCAATGCTATTTATGATTTAGATGAAAAGGTTCGTGGATGCTATTCCGAAAAGATAGACCACATTGATAAGAACGTGCTAGCAGAAATCATGTTACTAGATGGTTGCTTTATATTGGAACTTTTCCTCAGGTATGACCAACACTTAAATATGAAGTTAGAAGACGAATCTGATCCAATATTCAATAGTGCTTGGATGATTGCAGCTCTTCGCCATGATCTGATATTACTTGAAAACCAGATCCCCTTCTTTATTCTCAAAAGTTTGTATGATGCTATGAAGTCTCGTCTTAAGGGTACACCAAACTCTGTCACTAGCCTTGCTCTCAAGTTCTTTGAAATGAACCAAAAGTCAACAAAAGAAGAGCCTGACACAAAAAACCATCATTTGCTTCATCTTTTGCACAAATTCTACCTCCCAAATTTAGATTCCACAACAACAGATCACCAACTGAAACGCAGTGTTACAGAGATCCGACCTGGTCATATGTCAATCTCAGTCTCTGTTGAATTGACTTCTCACATTCAACATGTTTCTGCAATACATCTAACTTCAGGGATTCCTAGACCTGAACAAGCAGCTGCAACCAATATTAAAACATGGGGATTCAATTTTAGCGCTTCAAACCTTTTAAGGGCTGGGATTGAGTTTGAAAAAGGGTTGTCGGAGGACCATTTGTTAAACATAACTTTCGTCAAGGGAATAATCAGAATTCCACCAGTCGACATTCACTTGACATCAGATACACTCTTTAGGAACTTGATCGCTTTTGAGCAATGCAGCCTTAGAAGTACGCATCATATTACGTCGTATTTGATCCTCATGAAGAGTCTCATACCAAGAATATTTCACTGAATTCAAAACTATATTGTACATGGTTGTTGTGAAGGACTTCTGTTTTGGCAAGTTGTGTGACCAAGTGAATGCATACTGTAAGTCCTGGTTGCCGTGGAGAAAACACAAGATATCGACTAGGGTGCGATTTAGGAGACATATAAACTTCCTTTACCGCACATACTTCTCTAGTCCATGGAGTATCATATCATTCGTTGCTGCTGTGGCCCTTTTCGTTCTCACGGTCATACAGACATACTATAGCATTCACTCTCATTAATGTAAATTTGTTGGCCATCCATCAAGTTTATCAGTCATTTATGTAATTGATTCCTCTTCTATAATGAGTCTATATATGTATGTTGTATCTAGTTTCACAATTTATGTTTTATTTTGTGGATCCAGAAATGGATCACTAGAAAAAGGACTTGATGGCATCAGAAAGTTTTTGTGCATGCTGAAGTGAAGTGATTAAAGCAATAGGATTGATTGGTTGGTTTATTTCTCTTTAAAATGCAGGAAACTGCACCGGCTCTAAATGCAGAGCTTTTCTACTAAATTTGAACACTCATCGAAACAGAAATGCTCATAACAGATTTACCATACTTTTGACAATATCTAAAATTACATATATAAAGTCGTGGTCTTTTTACATTTGAAACTGGAGAAATAGAATATCTCAAACCAAAAAGACAGAAAATAAAAAATGCTTGGCAATGCATTAAACAAAAACTTCCATAGCCTTGGGACTTATTCAAGCATCAAAGACTATCAATTTAATTTTACTTCTGAACAAAGAGCTCCTTTTCTTTTCTGAGTTCTGCAGAGGCTTTGCCACAGATGAGTCACTTTGCTTGAATTAGCTTCTCCTTCACCATATTACAGCATATAAGTTTTCTTTAAGAAACATATAGGTCCTGGCAAATGACACAGTGCTCTGAGATCAATCTCGCCATGACGCTTCCCTCTCCAATGGCCAACTGTCTACTTCGTTTGTTCCATAGGTGCACAGCATAAGTCTCCCTTGTAATTAGCTCATTTGGTGTGATTTCCACCGCTTTTGACTCCGATTCCCTCTGAGGCTTCCTGAAGATCCTGTGTATCTTAATCCAGTCCAATGGATAGAATGCCTCAGGAGGCAATATTGTAAGGTTATAATCCAGTGACCTTCCACTCCCTTCTAGTCTAGCAATTACTCTGGAGACCAAGTAAGGTCCATTGAGACCCCATTTGTTCCCATTAAAAGTCGTAGCAAATTCTTCTAAGAAGTCTAGCAGAATTGGATGGTTTATGTCAAAGATCATCACTGCACCATTTAGTCTGTTCCAGATTTTGGACTCGAATCCAAACTTTGTGCTCCAATTGCATTCGTCAACCCAGATAAATCCTTCAGAATTATCAAGTCTGCGTCCAAGTAGATACCTCCATATTTGTATAGCATTGCAAGCCTAATCAGATTGGCTAGGTTTTGAGATAATGGGATGTAACCTGGGTCTGTCCTGCCACTCTTTAATTCTTCAAGCCAAGACTCAGCTGGTGTGTTCTTGACAAGAAAGGGCAAGTCTGGTGCGATTGCAAGTATTTTGAACCCTCTGTCAAGTAAAGGCTTCAGGATTCTGTACCCTCTTGCTGAGTCCATGGAGTTTGATATGATCATCAAGCATCCTTGAGGGTGGGATTTGAAGAGGGTGTCCATGGTCAAGAAATCTCTTTCCCCAAATGACTTTGCTGGTGAAAGTCATACCATGTAGAATTGAAGGCTGCATCCATTGTTGAGGAACTCGAGCACTCGACCATGGAACTGCTGTGACAAGTTGTTTGACTTGAGTATCTCTAGCTCGGGCAGTTTTCGTCGGAACCACACAAGTCTTTCCACTCTTGTGGCATTTTCTGGAGGAACCAGAGGATCACGAATTTCATCTTCAAGTTCCTCAATCTTTGCTTGAATTGAAAGCTGTGGCGTGCTCTGATCAGTTATGAAGGTTGACTCAATTTGCTCTTGAGGCACTTGAGTCTGGTCATGATTATGGTCAAGAACTTCATGATTTCTCAAGTCAATTGTTTGCATGGGAAGGTTGGAGACAAAGATGTCTGCATAGATAATGAAGAAGATGGCAGCAAATGAGATGGTGGAGAAGAGGGAGGATTTCGTGGTGCGGCTAAGGTGGCTGTGCCTGTGATCCAACACTTTGTGAGACATTCTTTTGACTGTCATGAGTGTAGAATTGGGAGAGGATTCTTTTGGAGAAGGCATTGATCTTGATGAGGAGCCATGGTGATCAAGCCAAGTGGTATTTATAAGTTTCTATTCAGCGTATGATTTAAAGCAATGGTGTGGACGAGCTTGAAATGATTTAAACATGGGTCTGATTTGAATAATCTTTGCAAGAATTAGACGTGAATGTATGTGGCACGTATTGCAGTTATGAGGACTAAATATTTAGCAAATATTATGAGTGTTTTTTATTGCTTTAATGTTCAAAACAATGTTAATGGATCGAACTTTCATGTCCATTTTGACAAACATAAATACAAATTACATCCTTGAATCAAGTAGGTGGTCAATATATATGAAAAGGGCAGATTTAATAGCTACTTATTACAGCTTGCTGATTATTTATACCTCTTACATCATTGGATCAATCAAACAATAATTATCAAAGAGAGGGACATGTTCATCATACGAACCAAATAGCTTTGTTGGCTCGCCTATAGGTAGAAATCAACTCTCGCATTCAAGTGGGCCTCCAATATTGTCATTTCCAACAACACCATTGCTCCTAGAACATGAGCAATTTTAGGGTTTTTAAAATGCATTGAGGATTTGATTAGATCACTAGGCTAGACCCCGTTGATTAGAACAATGATTAAATCTCTGGATACACGTAAGAATTTCATAATTTTATTAGTTGAAAGTTATAAATAAAAAATCTATTTTTTTATTAAGATTCATTGGATTTTCTGAGAACATTAAGAATTTTAGAGAACCATTTTAAATTACAAAGTGCCCTTTATAATTTATACTTTTATACTTCTATACTTTTTATTTATTTTTTGTTGGGTGAAAAAGGTATATGCAAATCTTTTGGGCTTGAGCCTTGTGAATGAAGCCAATCGTTTTGGGCCTTTGGAGTTCATAATACAAGCCTAAAGCCCACCAAACGGTCTCTAAAACACTTTCGCTCTCAAACCAACACGGTTTATCTCAAGCTCGAATTTCGTTTGCGACTTGGATCCTCTCTTCCACTGTTTTGTTCTCAATCTCGGCAGCTACTACCCATTAACCGTTTTACACACATAAAATGTAAATTCTTACCCCCGTTTCTTGCTCTCTCTTGCTCTTTGAATGAAGGTAACATGGGGATTCAATTTTTGCACTTCAAAAGTTTTAAGTTTCTGGGATTGAGCTTGAAGTTAGATGCTTTTATGGTGATGGGTTATGCTCAAATCACCGTTTTTTATTTATCAGAGACCATCCAGGCAAGCTGTGTGCCGGTAAAGCTTGGACCTTTGTTACTGGTCTACTTAGGGAGGCTAGAGTATCTTTCAAGTGTTGATGCTTGCAAAGATGTAAGATTTTTCAATCCGAAAACTGATAGTATGGGACGACAAGAATCTGCTTCAAGTTGGGAGATTCAAATAGCTATGAATTCTTTTCTTTTGCTTCAGATTCGAAAAATCGGCCTAGGCGGCTCTAGGCGGCGCCTAGGCGGTTCTAGGCGCTAGGCGGGTCTGGGAGCCTGGGCGGGTCTTTCTTTTTGTTTTTTTCTGACTTTAAAAACCTCACGCAGTTGCTTCCTTCTCTCTCGCGAGTCGACCACCACCACCAGGCCGCGACGACCCCTTGCCCACACCCGCGACCCGCGACCCTCTCTGTAATGGAACTATGAACATCTACTAGAGGGATAGTGGGTTCTCTTCTGCTACATGTGATGTGACTACGTGAGTCAAATGCCTAAGCATATATGCTTCACCCTCACCATCTTATGGCACAAAAATTTCCTTAAGAAGTATACATATATGGGCAAATGACACAGTTGTCTGAGACTAGTCATAATTCTTGAAGCCAAGTTTCACCTGGGTGTTCTTGACTAGAAAGGGCAGGTCTGGTGTTAATGCTATTACTTTGAATCCTCGATCGAGAAGCGGCTTCAGGATTCTGTATCCACTTCCTGAATCCATGCTTTTTGATAGGATCATCAAGCACCGTTTAGGATTGAATTTAAAGAGACCGTCCATGGCCACGAATTCTCTTTTGCCAAACTTGATTGCTGGTGAAAACCATATCATGAAGAACTGAACACTGCATCCATGGTTGAGGAACTCAAGTACTCGACCATGAAACTGCTTGTTTGAGTTGAGTATCTGCAGTTCCGGAAGCTTCCCCTTTTGTGACATTTTCTGGAGAACCAGGGGATCAGGAACTTCCTCTGCAACTTCATCTATATTTTCCTGCATGGAAAGCTGTGGCATGCAGGAAATCGAGTGTTGTGATCTTGAAAAAGTTCATGGATTCTCAGGTCAACAGGATGCATGGGAAGGTTAAAGACATTGTTGTCTGCATAGATGATGAAGAATATGATAGCAAATGAGATGGTGGAGAAGATAGGATATTTTGGGGTGCGCCTAAGTAGCCTATAATCAAACACTTTCTGAGACATTTTTTTCACCTTCAAAAGAGTAGGATAGAATGATTATTTTTTCGGGGAAAGCATTGTTCTTGATGAGGCGCGGTCTGGCCAAGTACGGCCTTACTTGTATATAGTAGCGGAAATTGAAATAGGAGGTTTCTGATGTATGATTTACCACTGCATGTTACTGGTCTACACTTCGTGCAGTGCTGGTCCTTAATTTGGCAATTTTTTTGGCATCTAGTGTATTCTAAATTTGGTATAAAAATGTTTGTTTCAATGATGAATTAATCTTTAAATATCTGGACTAAAATACCAATTACATCCTTGTGTCAATTTCTAGCTACTTATTTCAGCTTGTTTATATCCAACAACAATATTAAAGAGGGGCATTCTCATCATCTTAGGAAATGAACTCCTATTTCTGGGTGAGAAATTCCATCCTTTCTCTCGCCAATCAGATAGCTTTGTTTTTTGTTTTAGTGACAAGAAATGAGGCATTCGAACTTGAAACATCTTTCAACAGTAATTTAACATTGTAAGTTCATCATGTAGGAGAGAATCACTTACTTGAATGCATATGATGAGAATATTTTAGGGATTTGTAAACGCACCTAAGGTTTTGATTAGCACACCCACCACATTTTGAAAACAATCACAAAATTTCTCATTGTACCTATAACATCTCTGGATACATATGATTCTAATGTTATTGGTTGGAACTCGGAAGGCCGAACCAATTTTCTTTCATTGTCAATTGAAGACCCAACCTAATTGTGAGCTTGAGCCTTGTGAATGAACCCCAATTTGGGCCTATTGAAATGCCAGCCCAAGACAACGGTCTCTAAAACAGGAGTCATCTCCTAAAACACAACACTTTCCCTCGGAAACCTTATCCGCTTTCTCTCAAGCGTCAAGCTTCAAGCTTCAACCATGGCGTCACTGATACTCGGAGCTCTTCCAATCCCCACTCAAACGCTCACTTTCAGCTCTCGCATTTCGTTTTCTCAGTCTGAAACCCTATCCATTTCTCTCCCCTCCTCCACAGCTTCGCTCTCAGTCTCCACAGCTACCACTCCATCAGTCCCTTCAGGTACACCTTAATTCCAAACTCCTCTCTCTCTCTCTATCTCTCTCTCTCTCTCTCTCTCTCCCTCTCAAAATTTCCTTAAGAAGTATACATATATGGGCAAATGACACAGTTGTCTGAGACTAGTCATAATTCTTGAAGCCAAGTTTCAGCTGGGGTGTTCTTGACTAGAAAGGGCAGGTCTGGTGTTAATGCTTTTACTTTGAATCCTCGATCGAGAAGCGGCTTCAGGATTCTGTATCCACTTTTTGAATCCGTGCTTTTTGATAGGATCATCAAGCACCCTTTAGGATTGAATTTTAAGAGACTGTCCGTAGCCATGACTTCTCTTTTGCCAAACTTGGTTGCTGGTGAAAACCATATCATGTAGAACTGAGCACTGCATCCATGGTTGAGGAACTCAAGTACTCGACCATGAAACTGCTCTGTTAAATTGTTTGAGTTGAGTATCTGCAGTTCCGGGAGCTTCCCCTTTTGTGACATTTTCTGGAGAACCAGGGGATCAGGAACTTCCTCTGCAACTTCATCTATATTTTCCTGCATGGAAAGCTGTGGCATGCAGGAAATCGAGTGTTGTGATCTTGAAAAAGTTCATGGATTCTCAGGTCAACAGGATGCATGGGAAGGTTAAAGACATTGTTGTCTGCATAGATGATGAAGAATATGATAGCAAATGAGATGGTGGAGAAGATAGGATATTTTGGGGTGCGCCTAAGTAGCCTATAATCAAACACTTTCTGAGACATTTTTTTCACCTTCAAAAGAGTAGGATAGAATGATTATTTTTTCGGGGAAAGCATTGTTCTTGATGAGGCGCGGTCTGGCCAAGTACGGCCTTACTTGTATATAGTAGCGGAAATTGAAATAGGAGGTTTCTGATGTATGATTTACCACTGCATGTTACTGGTCTACACTTCGTGCAGTGCTGGTCCTTAATTTGGCAATTTTTTTGGCATCTAGTGTATTCTAAATTTGGTATAAAAATGTTTGTTTCAATGATGAATTAATCTTTAAATATCTGGACTAAAATACCAATTACATCCTTGTGTCAATTTCTAGCTACTTATTTCAGCTTGTTTATATCCAACAACAATATTAAAGAGGGGCATTCTCATCATCTTAGGAAATGAACTCCTATTTCTGGGTGAGAAATTCCATCCTTTCTCTCGCCAATCAGATAGCTTTGTTTTTTGTTTTAGTGACAAGAAATGAGGCATTCGAACTTGAAACATCTTTCAACAGTAATTTAACATTGTAAGTTCATCATGTAGGAGAGAATCACTTACTTGAATGCATATGATGAGAATATTTTAGGGATTTGTAAACGCACCTAAGGTTTTGATTAGCACACCCACCACATTTTGAAAACAATCACAAAATTTCTCATTGTACCTATAACATCTCTGGATACATATGATTCTAATGTTATTGGTTGGAACTCGGAAGGCCGAACCAATTTTCTTTCATTGTCAATTGAAGACCCAACCTAATTGTGAGCTTGAGCCTTGTGAATGAACCCCAATTTGGGCCTATTGAAATGCCAGCCCAAGACAACGGTCTCTAAAACAGGAGTCATCTCCTAAAACACAACACTTTCCCTCGGAAACCTTATCCGCTTTCTCTCAAGCGTCAAGCTTCAAGCTTCAACCATGGCGTCACTGATACTCGGAGCTCTTCCAATCCCCACTCAAACGCTCACTTTCAGCTCTCGCATTTCGTTTTCTCAGTCTGAAACCCTATCCATTTCTCTCCCCTCCTCCACAGCTTCGCTCTCAGTCTCCACAGCTACCACTCCATCAGTCCCTTCAGGTACACCTTAATTCCAAACTCCTCTCTCTCTCTCTATCTCTCTCTCTCTCTCTCTCTCTCTCTCTCTCTCTCTCTCTCTCTCTTATTTTCCCTGATTTTTGCTTTCTGCTTCTTCAGTGTACTGCGGTAGGGGCGATAAGAAAACCGAAAGAGGAAAGCGTTTCAATCACTCTTATGGCAATGTAAGTCAAATTTCTGATTTTGACCGTTTCCTCATCACCTTTTGCTCATGAATTTCATGAAATTTTATTATTTTTTATTTGTTTTTCTGAATTTTGAATATTTTGTGAAAAATAAAATTTTGAACTTTAGGCGAGGCCTCGGAACAAGAACAAAGGAAGAGGTCCACCTAGGGTTCCCGTGCCTGTGGCTCCCCCTAAGAAAGATAAGTTTGAAGACGATACAATTGTCAAGGTTGAAATTGATGAGTCTCTGTCGTAGCTAGTTGAGCCCAGTCTCTTTGATTTTTATTTATAATTGTAATTTATGTACCTCGAATTGCTTTATTTGATGAGTCTTTGATCAATACTTTTCTTGGTCTTGCTTGGTATTAGTGAATTGAATTAAGCTTTAAACTTCAATTTCCATATGTGTTTATTTTTGTAGTTTGGAAGGACAGTTTCCCAGATATGCTTTGTGTTTCACTTCACTTGTTTATTTATTTGTTTAAAATCTAGATAGGCTATTTTCCTCCTGTCTTGTCTTTTTGGCCACAAAACCTTCCTGGAAACACATGGTAGGAAAAACAAATGCTTTCGTATCGCCGGCTTTCAACATTCTTTATAGTTTATAGGGATTTATTGCCGCCTTAGTCTCTTCCGCTGGTGTTTTCCTTCACTATTCTGCTTCTTCTTCATAAACCTGCATCTTGTCTGCTCCTTTATCCGCTCCCAATACCCTAGACCTTTAGGACTATGATGAATTCATCGGAAATAACCGAAGAGAAGGATGATGATATCAGTTGCCTTGTTGATCCAGAAGTTCAAAAAGAAAAGATAAGGCGGATTATAGAGTATCAGAAGTCTCTTTACCGGTCTTCATCTTCGTCTTCTTCCTCCTCTTCCTCAGCTGCTTCCTGTTCCTCGTTTTCTTCAGCTCGAAAAAGTAGCAGTTTGTTAGGTTTGATGAAAGTAGGAAACACATCGTTGAGGAGATTATTTGACATGGAGCATACAAGTTTGGCCAACCATTTTGAGGATTTCAGTGGGTCATCCATAATTAAGCCTATTCTTCTATGGGGCAGTGATACAGACAATGAAAATGAAATGCATGATCCATGGCAATCCATCAAGCAGTTTGGACCACTAAATGAATCTAGGATTGATGGACCAAGTAAGTTTCCTTCAGATGGTAGCTTCCGGGATGCAGAGCGTGGCTTCCGGAATACAGAGGTAAGAATTGGCAACCGCAAGCTGACTAGGAAAAAGTCATTTAGGAGATTGCCCGGATTTGGGTTATGGAGATGCAGAGGATTTAGATTGAGATTAAGATTGAGGCGGCTTAGGATTGCTTTTTGTGGAAGAAAATATTAGTATTTGTCTGCAAACTTGTAATACAGGAAAACCTCATTTGTTTATTTATATCAAAAAATAAAAAAGGGTTAGCTTCTATTAACATATTGAGACAGGGAATGTCTGCCACAACTCGTTTACAGAATCTTGGATTTACAATGAAATGATGATCTTACTTACACTGGGGCAGAAGATTCAAAATGAAAGTGAAAAAGACAAATTGAACTTTATATGAATGGAAAAAAAGAATGAAAAAAGAAAAGAAAGGGAATTCCATAGCTCTTGAATCGTAGCTAATTCCTGCAAGAGTATGCTAACAAATAGGAGGCTTGTATCGATTTCCAGTCTGCGGCTTCGCCACAGTTGGTTGGTTGAAGATGCTTCACCATTTATTCGTTTGAGAAAATTCTTTCAGAACTGTATATGTCACTGCAAATGACACAATGATCGGAGATTAATCTCTGCATAATGCTTCCTTCTTCGATCGCGACTCGGCTACTTTGCTTGTTCCACAAGTGTACCCCATAAGTCTCCCTGCTGAGCTGAAGCAGCTTTGCTTTTACCCATCGATAATGAGCTTGGCTTCCTGGCTTCTTAAACAGCCCCCCAATCCTCTTCCAATCGACAGAGTAAAAGGCGATAGGGGGTAGAATTGTTAAGTTGTAACCTGGTCGGTTTTGCACCCTCTGGACCACTCTGGACACCAGGTAGGGACCATTGTGCCCCCATTTATTCCCATCAAAAGCCAAGGCAAATTCCTCCATGAATTTGTACAGAAGGGGATGATTCATATCAAACACCAGAACTGCATTATTTAGCCTAGTCCAGTTTTTAGATGCCACATCCACACTTTGTGCACCGATTGAGTTTCTCAACCCCAAGAATGAATTCAAAACTATGAAATCTGTGTCTAAGTAAACACCTCCATACTTGTATAGAATTGCAAGCCTCATCAAATTAGACAGATTCTGGGCTAATGGGATCTCACCAGGGTCTTTTTTGCCTCCCTTCATTTCAGCAAACCAGGCTTCAGCTGGGGTGTTCTTGAACAGAAATGATAAGTCTGGTGTCACTGCATGAACCTTGAACCCGCGATCCTGCAGCGGTTTCAGAATTCTGTAACCACGTCGGGAGTCCATAGTTCTCGAGAGAATCATCAAGCATCCACGAGGGTGGGCTCTGAAAAGACTCTCCATGGACAAAAACTCTCTGCTTCCAAAGGACCTCACTGGTGAAATCCATGTCATAAAGAACTGCCCCTCACACTTGTTGTTAAAGAATTCCAGAACACGACTGTGGAATTGCCTTGCAAACTTGTCTGATTTGAAAATCTCAAATTCGGGTAGCTTGCTCCGAAACCAAGCGATTCTTTCCTCTTCTGTGGCATTGAAAGGAGGAACAAGAGGACTTTCTCTACCAACCTCAAGGGTCTCTTCCTGCATGGAACGCAGGGCTATGCGATTTATATCAGACTTGATCAAATGGCCAGCAGAACTATGAGTCTGCAGCGGCACTGGAGAAGGAGCTTTATCATTCAACTCAACCGATTTTTCGGAGTCATTATAGATGATGCTATCGGCATAGATGATGAAGATGATTGCAGCTAGTGATAGAGTACAGAAGATATGAAATTTGGCAAGGCTAAGTAGGCGGCTGTCCATTCTACTCATCGTCGTCAGAGGAGTTGCATGGGAGAAGAAGTAAGCTTGAGGAAATAGAGCTCAAAGGGAACTTTCATGGCGAAAAGACCAAAGTACTTAACGACACACACGCTTATACAAAGAATTATTGCAGGCATCTATAGTGTAAATGTTTTCTCTCTAGGCGTCTGGCTTTGAAGCATTCAATACGAGACTTTATTGTAAGAGTCAAATGCTGAATAAAAATAAAATAAAATACAAAGAAGATAGCCGCCTGTAAAAATGCGTGAGCATTGTGTGGGATATTAATTTATAAATGAATAATTAAGAGGGTCCTTTAGAGTATCAATAATGAAAAGATGGTGATGGAAACATGTTTTACAACAATCTTATTTAATGATCATTGATTAGGCAATTACCCTTTTGACAGATATTGCTTTCTTTTTCAATGACTTCACCAACCAAACCAAACCCATTCCTTTGTTTTTGGGGCAGCAGAAGACCCTTCCTTGAGACTTTTTTGGCAATATTTCTGGAAATTTTGAAGCCTTAATCCGCCCCGTTGGTCCTTGAGACTTAACTGTTTAACTGGTGACCAAAAATATTGGATTAGTAACAACTTGGCCATGTTCTTGGTACAATTTTTTATCTCCTTAAAACGTCAACTTTGCTGTGGACCTAAGGAGGAGGGGTATATTGCATAAGCTTTATAAAACTACGTATTATTATGACTGTGTTCTGTCTCATTCTTTATTCTGTTGTTCCCCCACATAATTAAATTGGAGAACCCACCTTTCTCCACTGGGGTGCAAAATTATTTATTCCGAGCAGACAGAGCTGGTTGTTCTGCTACTTACAGACATTAACCTTTTCTTCAACAACAATCAAAACTATCGAATCCGTTTTGAAATATGTGATGAGAATTGGAGGGAATGATTTTCCCCACGAGAATATTCGTCAAAGATTCCTTCGTCTTCTCCGCTTCTCTTTCTCCCTGCAAAACAAATCGGAGTAAAAGGACCACACCCGGGGGGTGTTGGCCAAAGGCCCTCCGATGCCTAAGTTAGGTAAGGTATTTCAAGGAAAACCGGGTGGCCGGAGCCGTGTGTGGTGGCCGGAGCCTTGTGTAAGGGAGAGAAAGAAAGTGGTGGCTAGGGTTTGTGAGAAATGATTTCTGCAGAGTTTCAGTAGGAATTTAGACGTACCTCCACCCTTGTGTGTAGCTATGCTTTTATAATGGTCTTGGAGGCTAGGGTTTCAGAGGAATAATTCCGTAGATGGAAGGGAATTATTCCTCCCCTTTATGGAATTGATTTGATTAATTAGGGATTTGATTTATTAGGGTAAATCAAATCCCTAATTG